ATGTATAGAGTGTATATATTTTCCTTTGTTATGATGGTTTTGGATATCCACTAATTCTACTAGAGTCCGGGGGAGGATATTTCTTTGTCATGATATGTACTGTCATCATATAACTATGGGCACTACTCCAGATGGAGCAGCCGCCAGCGCACATCGCTGATCACTCATTGATCATCGGGGTGTGGGGGAAATGTTGTCCCAAGAGGGTATCAAACACGACCACGGTTTCAAGAGTGGGAATTATTAATTTTTTTGACGGCTTACGTGGATACACGGCTACACCACAGAACTGATCATCGGCGAATGAATCATGGATAAGACACCCAGAAATGTGACTTCTCAGCCATGGAACGGAGAGCCTTGGTTTTGCACATTTTGGTGCCTTGCAATACATTTCAAGCTTATCCTTATCCCCGTTCAGGCGACTTCAGACTACTACGGACTTTAACCGCAGATCTCCCGGTCCCATTGGAATCACGTGGGTGGGGTGCTCCATACGGACCAATTACTGTATTCTGGAGGGTCTGTAGTATTGACCGCCCTGGTACAGTGTTTTCTAAGTCTGTCATCTTTCACCAATCGTCTCGGATGAAAGGATTGCCGACCTTTTATCCGCAATCAATTTTCTGTTCTAGATCTTTCTCAAATAGAAGAGATCTCACCACAGGAACCGCAAAAGAAAAAAATGGGTGTGTGGCCATACTGCCCCACTATGGATCGCACGGCTCCCATGATCTGTGAGACTAGATACCCCATTGTCATTGAAATCCAACAAGACCCAAGGTAAGCCGGTTTCCTCAGTAAATGTTCTCCTGATGCTCAAGGATGACATCAATTCGGAGGTTTTCCAAATCCGCAAAGTTTACTCTGTACCTTAGGATGCACAGAGACTCAGGTGGGCGTCTCTTAGCTTTCAATTACGGATATCTCAAGGCTGCTAAGGGATGGACGGATATCATCCGAAATCCCTCACCAGCGACTCACCGATTTCGGTAACCTTATGCTGTGCCGCAATACCCAAACGAGCAAGAATTTCGAGAGCATGACATTTGCATTCCCGAAGCCTGACCGCAAACCAAGCTGTGTCTATTACAAAGTTAATTAAAATTGAAAAATGAAAAATTACCCGGCAATCGAATCGATAGTACGGAGGATGCGTGTCCTGTTCCACTGCTACATGTAGTATATTCAACTTTGGTTAACATAGTACAGGCATCGGTCCCACCAGACTTCAATGTCTAAGAGCCATCATATATTGTACGGCCCATAGTTGGTCATGTTGATCTCCACCTGGCAACAACCGTTTTCAGGAAAGATCAGTGTTACCGGCTAACTTTTACTGGTTCAATGTTCAGCTTTATTAGCTGACCCACGGACCAGGTCAAGGTTGTTGGGGGCATATCTGGCACGAATCACTTGTCGCATTAAACACCCACAACCTGTGCAGCTGCTCCCCTAGCCGACCGCCCTAAGATCTACAGGAAGGAAACTTGCCAGTCAGATTATCTCCTAGAAATGCAGGGCAACACAATGAAGAACCGGTGGTTGGCGGATCAAAGCGCACTTCCGGCTCATAACGTGCGGTAACATCCAGAGTAGCATACTCGTCATGCGTAAAGACTAATGTCAAAAATAAGTCATTTATATTTGCTTAATTGCATGCCAGTATTCAGCTAGCTCATTTACGCTCCGCTCCAGCAGAGGTATTGTCGTTGAAATTTCTACTTTAGTCGTCGAAGGATTGCGGACCGCTTGAGCTCGTTCCTCACTGCAACAACTGTGAGAGCTCGCCGTTGACGCTATCGATACGCGGAAGTTGCTGATCCACGCTGTCTCTAATACCTCATGAATGTCGCTTGTCACTATTACCATGACTATTTACGAAAGAACATCACTGTCAGTAATGATCTTCGTAGTAACCTTCCCACGACGGATCTGTCGGAATGGCTCCCGGGCGCCTTAGGGTTCAAATACTGCATTCACTATATCATACGGACTATTAGTTTATACCTCGGGGATTCTCCGGAATCTAATTCCACAATCCGAAAAGAAATCGAGATAACGGCGTCGGGTTGGCCAGTTGAACTTGTATCAGAGATTGTTCTTTAATTTATGTGTTTGTGTGGCCGGTTCCTTCAGAACGCCGTCATGCTAGCCACGATTACCTCCGCCTCGGCAATAATGATTCCAGACTAGTCCAGTCAATAATCCGAGTCTTATTGACTTCGAAGGATTCTCTGAATCCTTCTTGGTGGCTCTCAGTCCGAGACATGTTTGAGTTTAATAAACTCTGATTGCGACGAACTGGTGTTTGGGGCGATACCTTCCACTAGTAAATTCCACCATTTGCAATGGGATGATCCAGAGCATACAGTGATGCAGCGTACTCCTTTTCTCGGGTGGAGCGCCGCCGTTGTATTGCAGGATAGCGCATATCTAGTCAGAAGTTCTCTCGATCTAAACAGCCAAGCCCCTGCTATAGTTACAGTGGACTAAAGTATAAAGTGGAGACCAGGGCAAAGTCAATCATATTGCCAAGCATACCATTCAGCATTAGGAGGAGTCTGGATCTTAACCCTTAATCGTAGAATCAATTAAGGCTGGTTTCACTTTGAGCAAGAATGTATGTACTCAACACCAAGTGTAGTGTTGTATGAAAGACATTTGAGCTTTATGTATGGGTCTTGAGGTAATTTCCCAGCCACTCTATAATCAAAGGGGCTCTTGGTATAATGATACACCCGTAACAATCATATTCAGTATGAAATAAGATAATGATAGTCATAATGACAAGAACATAATGAATGTACTTACTCTATCATAAGAACCCCCATCAACGTGATGCCCCGCGCTTCCCTCGTGGGGTTCATTCATTCATATTTGTCCCTTGCATTCTTCACACTTACTACCTGAAGAGAAAGATCGTCGACCCGCCAGTCAACGGCATTAATGATTGACTATACACATGGTATTCTGGGTATATAGTCATTCCTTTTAATTCAATTTAGCTGCGCAGATCACTCGGTGTGTCCTTCCTGAACCACGATGACTGCAGCAACACTTAGTAGAGCTAATACACTAGACAAGGACTAACCGGCCACAGCTTCTCTATTGTATTGATCCTAGTTAAACAGTACGTCAAGGAAGTCTACAGCGTCGTCCACTTTTTTGGGTCTGGAAGACCTCCATGTCTTCATCACCGGTACCGCTGGTGGAATTGGAAGACAGATGGTTCACGAATTCCTAGGTACGTTGCATCTTCTTATGCAATCACTTGACTCCTAATACGTTTGTATACGGATGTCTTTCTTTGCCTCAATACACTTAAGCACAAGATGATGCCCCGAATTTGTGCAGATCTCCTTTGCCAAAGGGCTCAACTGATCTTCAAGCACTTTCTCAATACCTTCCAAATTTAGTAAAAATAAATACCTCTATTCATACTTAGACTTCAGTTTGGATAACATCTCTTTTAGGATGAGAAGGTGGTCTATACAGCCAATGTTCTGAAGGCAATGTGGTGTATCTTGGATGCTTGCAGTGAAATTCTTTCTCACATCCCACGTCTGCGTGCTCGATTTATCCTTGGGAACTTGCTTTTGTTCTGTGTCTCCGAAGGCTGGGATGTTGGCATCGAATCCTAAACAGTAGGTCTGTTATTTGCGCAGGTTGATCCTTAGTATCACTCAAGTATACTCAAGCAGTTGTGCATAATCAGCGACTCACTTCAGCATGAGCATCGGCACTTCTTTTCTCCGATACTGGAGGGCTTTTGAAACTCTCTCTACGAAATACCCAGCTTTCTCCAAAAGGACATGCTCCCACTAGATGCCACGATTTGCACTGGTCACATTGTTTTGCTCTGTAGTAATACTTCATATGGCCAAACTGTCCACATTTCGTGTAAAGCTAACAAAAGCATTCATTGTAACCGTTCTTAGCACAATCTTTTGCATCCTGCGGATCCCATATTGATAACGGCGCAATGACCATGCAACGAAAAAGAGAGCAAAAAAACTAGGTAGGAAAGGTTAGCAAGGACTGGAATTTGAATATCAAAGTAGGCGTGAATCGGCTTCTCGTCACACAGAGGGTAAAAGATGATAGTATAGTATCTTGAGCGGTGAGTCTGGCAAAACATGAGACTTAGAACCATGTAAAGTGATACTGTGAGAGCTATCATGAACGTATAGTGATAGACATAGCTGAATACAACAATGATTTTGTGAAGCTTTAGCTAAGATTACTGCATTATATTAATCTTAACAACCACACCCCATCAGGCCCAGAACAGAAGAAAGGCCCCCAGATCAATCTCATGAAACAATCCGAAAACAAAGATCTCTCGGTGAGCTATTCACTCTCAATACATCAACCATGTGGTATAATGGGCCAGGCGCCCCAAGCTGGGTACTTAGATAGACCTAGCACTCTGCCTCTGTCTTCTGCCTGCACCCATTCCATATAGATACTAGTCCCCATGTCGTAATTTAGCACCAATCCAAGAGAACCAAACCTCACTTATTCAGGCATATCAATACCAAAATTTACCTACAAAATAAAGACCTTATCGCCAACTCATCCCCTAAACCTCCGGAAATGTTTTCGTAGAAGACTTAACCACCGTCAATTGTTCAAGACTTAATAATCCCATCAGTCAAGCTCTTTATAATTCCTACCTCGCCCATTGCATCCCCCATCTAGAGAGTTTCTCTCCTATCTCATTAAATGATACGATTCTTTCTCCACGAGCAGGGGAACGGGTAGAGAGAGTGTGGAAATAGGGATTCAATTGAGCTTGGGAAGTATGGGGGGGTGTTGATCATGATATTTAGTGGCCCGTATTAGTTGATGGTGGCTGCTTGGCCTTGAAAAGATCTAGACGGTAAAACAATTACTTGTTTGAAGGTAGGTCAAGAAATGCTCCTATTGGGCAGGTAAAGTTGTCATATCTTTTGTAAATTATATAACTAACTTACCCAAGCATCTCCACCAATCAGAGCATGTTAGCTCAGGGGAAGAGCGGTATGTAATCACGTGGCCTTATTAAAAATGAAACACGAAGCTAACAAACCCACAGCCGGGCTCATAACCCGGAGGTCCTTGGATCGAAACCAAGACATGCTATATCTTTTTTGTAATCAAGATTAAATTTTCATTTTAACTCTGCGGTTTAGCCCACACTCATCCCTGTAGTTAACTAACTTATCCAATCTCTATTTATAATTCCTGGCTTTATAATTCCCGAAGCACTGCCCGCCGTTTAAAACCTCCGAAGCGTCGACACCCTCTCTGCTAACCCACCCAGGAGCCAGGATCCATGATGCGATCATTCTTATCCTCTGATACGTAGTCTACGCCTTCTAGTCTTTCGACAGCGCAATTGTTATCACTAGACATCGGAACTGCAGGACCTCTAGAAGGCAAGCGCCGCGTAGAACCGGAGTTCACCCCACATGACTACTCTGCAGATTCTGTCTCAGCGTTTAGAAGAACCCGGCAATTAGGCTGATCTCCGAGATAAGGTTTTCAAATATCACTATACCATTACCTGTCTTTCTCCTTCGATCAGCAATCAAGCTTACCTGTATGACAGATAGAAAAATGCTTCGAGTGCCAGAACTCATGTCTGGTTCGACTGTCCGCACTTGTAAGCGGACAGGTGTGCATGTGTCCGAATGTATCGGAGTGCTTCATCAGCAGGCCGCCTAAAGACGATAGGCCATGTCTTATTCCACCGTCAACTACACCTGGCGCCAAAGCTGAAACCTGTTATTCTTTAATCCAGTTTCTTAAAGGCTCGAGGAGGGACGGCACCATCGTCTTTACCAAGAGACTATGCTAATTTCAAAAAAAAAAAAACTATAATATTTCAGGTTAGCAATCAATCATACACTGTAAACAATATACAGAAGAGACTTTTAGTTAAATAAAAGGTAGATAATGAGTATACTCGGTCTAGTAGAAATGGCTGTATAGACGCAATAGATTGCTGTCAAGACGGGTGTAACTTTACCATTGAGACCCTCGTCCTGGGGGATTGGGATTTCAGGGAGCTGAGAAGTGTCCTCTACATCGATAAATTGCCTTTCTCGTCCGAATGTATAACAGGCGTTTATGCGGCCCAACATGGGCATGTCCAAAACCCCTAAAAGAAGACTTTTTGGGACGACAGGCCATGTATATAGATCACGAAACATGTTACTTTGGACCGATTACTATATGATAGTATTGGGACAGCTAACGCTTAAATATGTCTACATGCGATTCAGTATCACCATCCTTGAGTGGTATACAGGGCGGAGTTGAACTAAGCAGATTATGGTCTTAGTCGATTGAAGTATGTATGTATCTGTACATGTTATGTTATATTTGGTATGTAGGTCCATTTTTAACGAATCCGGTTCGTTCTATCCATTATAGAGCATGATACAACAATGCTGTGCACAACGTAACTGACAAATATATACAATATACAAGACAAGTAATAATCAGTACAACCAGAATAGAAGACGCTCCAAATCCAAACAAACAAGTTTAAAAATAAAAAAGGAGAAGTCATCATATCATCATCATCATCAGACATCACCAATGTCTAATATTTTTAAAGAATGATCAGCAGGACTGCTTTTACTCGTAGAGATCCATATCACCGCTGCCATCCTCCAACTCGGCCGCGGCGTCATCTTCACTATCGAGCATGTCTTGATCTTCGTCGACCGGGATCTCATGGTTCGGCAAGACGTCGATGCGCCCATCGCGCATTACCACCCGCGCGGTCTCGCCATCGCAGATACTTCCACGGAGAATGAGGATAGCAAGGCGGTTGAGGACCTCACGCTCGATGATACGAGCCAGAGGCCGAGCACCATATGCGGGCGAGTAGCCGGCTGCTCCAAGGTAGTCTTTGACTTCTTCTGAGCAATCGATGGTGACATTCTTGCTGTTTGCCTCCAGGCGCTTTTGCACTTCGTCAAGACGGAGGTCGACAATCTTGCGGATTTCCTTCTTCGTGAGACGGTTGAAGATGACGGTACTGGAGATACGGTTGAGGAATTCGGGGAGGAAGTAGTCGCGGAGCGCGCCCATGACCAGTTCACGGGTTTGAGGATCGATCCGTCCGTCCTTAGCGGTTGGACGAGCCAGGTATTCGGCGCCTAGGTTGGAGGTCATGACGACGATGCAGTTCTTCGCGTCAACAATTCTGCCTTGCCCGTCTGTGACACGTCCATCATCCATCAGCTGGAGGAGAACGGTGAGGACTTCCTTGGCAGCTTTTTCGACTTCGTCGAAGAGAAGGATGGAGAATGGGCGTCTTCGGAGGTTCTCAGTCAGCTGGCCACCGGCATCGTGTCCAACATATCCTGGAGGTGCGCCGATCATACGACTCAGCGAATGACGTTCCTGGTATTCAGACATGTCGAACCGGATCATAGCCTTGGGGTCATCGAAGAGGAACTCCGCAAGGGCCTTGGTAAGCAAAGTCTTACCAGTTCCGGATGGACCACAGAAGAGGAAACTTGGCGGCGAATTAGGGTTGCTGAGGCCAGATCGCTGAAGTCGGATAGCATTTGATACCGAGGCCACGGCCTCCTTCTGGCCAACGACTATCTTGGCAAGGTGCTTCTCCATGTTCAAGAGCTTATCTTTCTCGGTGGTCTTGAGCCTGGTGACAGGAATGCCGGTCCATCGGGCAACAATCTCGTTGATCTGTTCGGGACCAACAGCATCGGCGAGTAGTGTCTCTCCAGCGTCTCCTGAGCGGGCAAGTCGCTCGGCATCTGCTCTCGCCCGGTCCTCCTCGAGTCTCTCGATAAGGACTTTAGTCTCCGGGATAGCATAATATTCCAAATCAGCTGCGGTCACGGTGTCCCCGGACCGCTCTGCCTCGTCTCGCTTGACCTTGAGCGAGTCCAGCTTAATCTTAGCATCCTGGATTGCCTTGCTGCGTTTCTTCTCACTTTCGTATTTCTCCCGCATAGGGCGCAGTTCCTCGGTGACATTGGCAGCCTCTTGCTTGGCAGCTTCCAAGCGTGCTCTCGATGCATCATCTGTCTCACGCTCGAGGGCATGGATTTCGATCTGCAGCTGCCGAAGCTTTCTCTCCATGTTATCCAGGGCCTCCGGCTCGGATTCACGCGTCACTCTAACGGCGGCGGCGGCTTCATCAATAAGATCAACCGCGGAGTCGGGGAGTCGTCGAGCAGTCAGGTACCGGGAGGCCAGTGTGGCCGCGGAAACAATGGCACCATCAAGGATGTTGACACCGTGATGTACTTCATACTTCTCCTTCAAGCCACGAAGGATAGAGATAGTCTCGGTCACGGTAGGTTCTTTGACCAAGACCTGTTGGAAACGCCTTTCGAATGCCTGGTCCTTTTCAATATACTTCCGGTATTCGCCTAGTGTAGTGGCACCAATACAGTGCAATTGGCCACGAGCCAACATCGGCTTCAAAAGATTGGCAGCATCCATACCACCCTCACCACTGGAGCCTGCACCCATGAGAAGGTGGATCTCATCGACAAAGAGAACGATGGTTTCTTTGGACTCTTCGATCTCTTTGAGGACGCCCTTCATCCTTTCTTCGAATTCACCACGGTACTTGCTTCCGGCAACCAACGACCCAACATCGAGGGAGAGGAGTTTGCATTGAGCCAGGTTAGCTGGGATATCGGCATTCACAATTCGTCGGGCCAATCCTTCAACAATAGTGGTCTTTCCGACACCGGGCTCACCGATAAGCACTGGGTTGTTCTTCGTTCGTCGACTAAGAATGCGGATCACTCGACGAATCTCTTCCTCACGGCCAATGACAGGATCAATTTTGCCCTCTCTCGCCAGGGCCGTCATGTCGATTGTGAACTTTTTGAGGTTCTCATTCTCACTCTCTGAATCTGCGGTCTTGGAATCTACCCTCCTTGTGCCTCGAATCTGCTGAACGGCAGTGTCAAGCAGTTTGACATTGGGGATGTTGGCATCTGCTAATGCTCGCTGGACCTGAGAATCCTGAGCGACTGATAGGATCAGATGGTCGATAGCGACGAAGCTGTCCTTCTGGGTCTTGGACAAGTCTGTGGCAGAGCGAATAACCTTGGCCAGTGCCGGGGAGACACTGACGGTCTCGGGAGGAGGATCTTGACTTGGGTAACGGACCAACATCTTCATAAGAGACCGTTCGAGGAGTTGAGGGTCGCCATGGGCGCGTTCGACGACCTGGCGGAAGAGTGGGGCAGAGCCGGCATCGTGTGAGGGGTGAGCAGTGGCTTGTTGATCTTTGGATTCGTCTTGCGAGGGGTTTAAGAGAGCCACAGCGAGATGAACAGGAAGAATCTGAGAATGTGAATATTGCTCGGCCAAGCTGCTGGAATCCAGCAGGGCCTTGTTAGCTCTGTCAGTAAACTGAGCCCCGTTCATGGTGAAACGGATTGATGGACAGGTGTGTTTTGCTCAAGTTCTGTGAGAGTATGGTGGTGAGTGTGTGAGTGCTTGTGTGTATATACAAGAGAGGTGATTCTTCAAGTAGTAACGAATCTGAATTTGACTTTAAATTTAAATGTTTCACAGGTGAACAAGGGAAAGAGAGGGATGTTCCCTGGTCAAGGAGGGTGAAGATATAACTGTTGGTGTTGGGCATCATCCAACAGTCCAGATCCTCCATGACGACACGAGCCGCTTCCACCGCCTTCCAGAAGAACCTATCGCATGGTGGGGTCCCTTTGGTCTATTGCGTCACGTGAAGCCGTGGTGGCCTGATTGAGGCAGTCTTTCTTTCGAGACATGAACTCGAGTCAACTGGTCAATTCAGGAAGGATCTGAAATGTTCATACGTAGTATGTACATCAATGCTCCCACGGGAGTACAGAGTCGGTGTACAGCGAAATCCATCATGTCCAACGCCAAGTCCACTACGACTAATATGTACGAGGCAGTTACCTGGATGCCAGGATGCCTGGGTGCCTAGATGCCTGAAAGCCTAAGATAAGATCTTTACAACCGCAGACCACTCATATTACTCGGTGGTACATTGTGTTACTTGTCAGTACACAGTATGGTACTTGAGCTGTTACCATGTTGAGTATTCGTGAGTAGGTACCCATTAATGTACCTCCTTGGAACTGACTGTG